GTTATTACAGAGAGAGGAGAGCAAACAGGCCAAGAGAGGGAAAATGATGAAGCAGCTGCAGCAACTCATTCTACTACAGGGTTTGATTTAGGTGACAAAGACACAGGGCCCAGACAGGTGAAGCTGAAGAGCTATCCACATGATACTTTTGGTACACAGAAGCGAGCATTTAACCACAGCTGGTTTGAAAAGCACAACTGGTTAGAATATTCAGTCAACCAGAATGCAGCTTTCTGCTTCCCATGTAGAGTGTTTGGCAAAAACATCAAACATGATAGTTTGGTCAGTAACGGTTGCAAGAACTGGAAGAAAGCTTTAGTCATCTTTGGCAAGCATGAGATGGCACAAACACATAAGGACAGTGTTGTTACATGGAAAAGCTACCAGGGAACTAGCAAACAGGGAAACGTTGCACAGATGATAGCAACTGCAAATGTGAGTGAGATAGTCGAAAGAAGAGAGTATCTCAGACGAATTGTTGCAGTCACCTCTATGTTAGGGAGACAGGGACTCCCTTTTCGTGGTCATGATGAAGGTGAAGACAGCCCAAACAGAGGGAATTTTCTTGCGTGCATGGAGCTTTTGAAAGAGTTTGATCCTTTTCTTCAAAAACATAATCCCCCATCAAATGCACAGTATATCTCACCAACATCCCAGAATGACATGATTGACTGTTGTGCCCAGGAAGTTACTAGTGTCATTGTATCTGAAATGACAAAGTCTAAAGTCTATTCCATCATGGTGGATGAGGCAAGGGATAAAAAGGCAGAGCAGTTAGCTGTTTGTGTCAGGTACGTGTCAGAGGGGGCAGTGAAGGAGCGTTTCCTTGCACTTGCAGAGATAAAATCATTTGATGCCCAGTCCATTGCAAATGAGATTCAGCAGCAGATCCAAAACAATGGTCTTGCAGAGCTTAAGTGTGTAGCACAAACATATGATGGTGCAGCCGTTATGAGTGGCTCCACTGGAGGCGTACAAGCACATTTTAGAAGGCTCCATCCTGAGGCTATCTATGTGCATTGTTATGCTCATCAACTCAACCTGGTTTTGTGCAATACTTGCAAGGCTGTCCCAGAGGCTGTGGAGCTTTTCAGCTTGTTGGAGTGTGTGTATTCTTTCTTCAGCACCTCCCTAGTCAATCATCATAAGTTCATGGAGACTCAGGCAAAGCTTGGATTGACAAAAACTGAGCTTGTGCAACTTTCAAACACTCGCTGGGCATGTCAGTTGCGATCAATCAGTGCAGTTCTTGAGACATTGCCTGCCATTTTGGAGTGCCTATCTGCAATTGGATCCCCCATAGCTGTTGGTCTCAGAGCAAAGCTCTACAAGTTCTCAGCAGTCTATGCACTACTGATGTTTCAGTCGATTCTGTCTGTAACCGAAGGACTCCACAAATTCCTGCAGAAAGAGACTTTAGACCTGGCAGAAGCTTTTATCTGCAAACAAGCTGTGTGTGACACACTTAAGGGCAAACACTCAGATGCATTTGCTACAGAGCTGTATGAGAAAACCAAGGCCCTGTGTAACACCCACAGTATCCCTGAACCAGGTGCCAAGACAAGGCACAAACAGAGGAAAATGGAGGATTTTGTCCTGGAGGCAACTGTGGGTTCACGCACTGAATTGAACAACTCAGACACATTGAAAAGAGAGTTACTTTTCCCTTGTGTGGATCGGATGGTTGGCGAGCTTGATCAAAGATTTTGCAGTGTAGATGCAGGGCTGCTAAAAGGCGTCCAGGCATGCAGTCCTAAATCTGAGAACTTCTTGAGTGAACCACACTTGAATGAACTTGCAAAGCACTACAGACTTGACCTGAAAAAAGAGGAGGTTCTGGTGGCCAGAAACTTTCTTACCCGGAAAACAGAGGCTGGATGTCCACCCAAAAATATGTTGTCTGTGTACAACCTCCTTGATTCAGACATGTTTCCCTCTCTGAAGGCAACCATCCAAGTTGCCCTAACAGTGCCTGTCAGCAGCTGCTCGTGCGAACAGTCCTTTAGTGCACTGCGTCGGCTGCACTCCTGGCTGCGTCAAACAATGGGTCAGAAAAGACTTCACAGTCTTGCAGTCATGTCTATTGAAAAAGATACGCTTCAGCATCTGAGTCACAACAGAGTGATTGACCGATTTGCCACTCTTAAAAACAGACGTCATTCTTTGATGCTTCCACCCACCAAGTAACTGGTGATTGCAGCCAGAAAAATTTACTTTTTTATTTTCAGTTTTTTTCTTGTTATTGATGCAGCAAACACATTTCCTCTGTTTTTTTGTTGTACTGTATTATAAAGCAGACTGAAATAAAACAATAGATCTATTGGTGGCCTAGGATGTTTAATCTGTCCAAAAAAGTAGGAAAACAATTTCTCAGTCTTTGTTTTCTGTTTGTGAAATTTTGTGCTCATTCACTACGTTCGTTCATGTCGTGTGCATCTCTTGGGGGCTAAGCCCCCCCTGTCCTTAAAACCTAGTGACACCCCTGTTGTTAACGTTAATAAAAGTGAATATAAGGCCTGATTTACATGATTCATATCATTCACAATTTAAAGTAATCCTTATTTGTCTTATATAGTGTGGTCCAGAATTTAATTTCAACTAATTTTCACATATAATGTCTTGAATTCTCAAACACGTAGCCTGATGCAGATAACTCTTAAGCTGGAGAGGAAATGGCGTGTCACAAATTTAGAAGATCATCATTTAGCCTGGAGAAATAGTTTGTTGCTTTATAAGAAAGCCCTCTGCAAAGCCAGAACATCTTACTACTCATCACTGATTGAAGAAAATAAGAACAACCCCAGGTTTCTCTTCAGCACTGTAGCCAGGCTGACAAAAAGTCAGAGCTCTATTGAGCCAACCATCCCTTTAACGTTAACTAGTGATGACTTCATGAAATTCTTCACAAATAAAATTTGAATCATTAAAGAAAAAATTACCAATAATCATCCTACAGATGTAATATTATCTACAGCTACATGAATATTCATTTAGACTCTTTTTCTCCAATTGATCTTTCTGAGTTAACTTCAATAATTCAAACCTTCAACGTGTCTTTTAGACCCCATTCCTACAAAACTGCTCAAAGAAGTCCTGCCATTAATTAATGCTTCAATCTTAAAGATGATCAACTCATCTCTAATAATCGGCTGTGTACCACAGGCCTTCAAGCTGGCTGTAGTTACTGTTACTTAAAAAGCCATCTCTAGACCCAGCTGTCTTAGCTAATTATAGGCCAATCTCCAACCTTCCTTTCATATCAAAAATCCTTGAAAGAGTAGTTGTCAAACAGCTAACAGATCATCTGCAGGGGAATGGTTTATTTGAAGAGTTTCAGTCAGGTTTCAGAGCTCATCACAGCACAGAAACAGCTTTAGTAAAGGTTACAAATGAGCTTCTTTCTTCACCCAGCTCTATCTATCCATGAAGCCAGATAACACACACTAATTAGTTAAACTGCAGGAATGTCTTAAAGACATAAAGACCTGGATGGCCGCTAACTTTCTGCTTCTTAATTCAGATAAAACTGAGGTTATTGTACCCTGCCCTGAAAATCTTAGAAATATGGTATCTAACCAGATTCTTACTCAGGATGGCATTACCTTGGCCTCCAGTAACACTGTGAGGAACCTTGGTGTGATTTTTGACAAAGACATGTTCTTCAATGCACATATTAAACAAATATGTAAGACTGCTTTCTTCCATTTGCGCAACATCTCTAAAGTTAGAAATATCCTGTCTCTTAGTGACGCTGAAAAACAAGATCATGCAGTTATTACTTTCAGGATGGACTACTGTAATTCATTATTATCAGGATGTCCTAAAAACTCCCTGAAAAGCCTTCAATTAATCCAAAATGCTGCAGCAAGAGTCCTGACAGGGACCAGAAAGAGAGAGCAGATTTCTCCTGTTTTGGCTTCCCTTCATTGGCTTCCTGTTAAATTCAGAATTGAATTCAAAATCCTGCTCCTCACATACAAGGCCTTAAATAATCAGGCCCCATCTTATCTTAATGACCTTGTAGTACCATATCACCCAATTAGAGCATTTCACTCTCGCTCTGCAGGCCTACTTGTTGTTCCTAGAGTATTTAAAAGTAGAATGGGAGGGAGAGCCTTCAGTTTTCAGGCCCCTTTTCAGTGGAACCAGCTTCCAGTTTGGATTAAGGAGACAGACACCTTTGTCCTGTTTTCCTTCTCTCACCCCAACCGGTCGCAGCAGATAGCCCCGCCCCTCCCTAAGCCCGGTTCTGCTGGCGGTTTCTTCCTGTGAAAAGGGAGTTTTTCCTTCCCACTGTCGCCAAAGTGCTTGCTCGTAGGGGGTCATATGATTGTTGGGTTTTTCTCTGTATCTATTATTGTACGATCTACTGTACAATATAAAGCGCCTTGAGGTGACTGCCGTTGTGATTTGGTGCTATATAAATAAAATTGAATTGAATTGACTTGAATCAGTCCCTATCATATCTTAAAGACCTCATACTATCATGTTGTCACAAAAGAGTGTTTTACAGTGGTTGTTAGAATTTCTAATCCAAAGCTCCCAGTTTGGATATGAAAGACAGACACCCTCTCTATTTTTAAGACTTTGTATAAAACTTTCATTTTAGATAAAGCTTATTGTTAAGGTTGGAACAGAGACCCCTGAACCCTCTGTTAGTTAAACTTCAATAGGCCAAAGATCCTGGGACCTTTCCATGACACTCTGAGCGTTTTCTTCTTCAATCGCCTCTTTTTTATGTGTTTACACATCACTTTTGCACTGCGTCATTAGTAGTTTTCATGGCTGAAGATGTTATATTCTCACAAATCAAACCTGCTAATTTATTGACTATATGCCTTAAAGTTATACCATCATGCCAGCTCTGTGTTGACTTACTGAACAAAACGATATCTCCACAGTTTGCAGTTCATGGTTCATGAACTGCAAACCTCCAGTATAAGCAGCCTCAAGCCAAACACCAGTGAATGTATACAACGGGAATATTAAGAGCTTCTCACCTGCTTGACATCATATCCCAAAAGGACAAAATTCAGATCTGGAGAAACTGCGAACTTTGACGCTTTAAAAGTCGCCTGTGGGAAGAACAAGAATATGAGAAGAGTGTGAGTTTTTAGTTGCTGCTGTTGTTTTCACAATGAGCCTTTTCACGGGTTGCTGAACACCTACACTTTTCAAACTAGTCGTGTCTTGATGCATCAACATACACACTCTGATAGATCAGTGCATGGAGTGGCTTGAGTGGCCTGAGCTGGGTCACAACGGCTGCTCTTTCCAAGATGTTGCAACCCACAAAAAAGTCTTGCATCACAATACTGACAAAATATGTCATTGAGATTTTTAATTTTTATTTCTTACTTACAAATGTTGTATTTTTCAACAGAAGGTCTGTCTCGTTGGTGCGTGTGTTGATTTTGAAAACGTCTCCATCCCAGCTTCGAAAGATTATTTCATCCTCTGTAGGACAGATAGAGGCATTAAATTGATATGCAATGTTTGTATGTAAACAGATATGAGTTTTTCAACCTGTTTTTCAATGGTCACGTACTGAACATAAACCGGGAAACCTACACATAGATTACATGAATAAAAACAAAAGTCACAAGCATGAAAAGGCAATCAAGTTCTTCTCCTATCAGTAACAATGATATTTATTAAAAAAAACATAAAACCATCACCTATTATTGCTATAACAATAACAATAATAATAATAATAATATAATAAAAATCAAGATTCAAAATATTTTCTTCTTTCACAATTCCCAATGAACACAATCTCTTAATGAACAAAATATTATTTATTGGAGGTGGGTTTTTTCCCCTCTGGACAGAAGAGGTCTGTTTAAAACACATGAAGTTTCGACTGCAGCTGACTGTGTTTATTTTTAATGTTGCCGAGGCAACCTCAGCCACATGAATTTGTGATGTGGTCCTGAAAGTTTGCATTATTTATATAATCTAAGATTGCATACTTCAGAAACGCTCTCATCTGCACCTCCGTGTCAGATGGGTATTGGAACCGGCTATTTGTTTGTGGATTAGGCTCGCTGTGGTTTCTATTACTTCTGTTATCTCCTTATTTCTTTGTGCTGTTTTCTTCCTTTGCCTTCTGTGTTCTCCCGTCTTTATTCTCATGTCTTGTGTTAGTCTTTCTGTCTTCTTGTTATAGTTTAGAAATTTTAGATTTCTGATGAGCTATGTTTTGGTTTTACTTTGTGTTTCTTGTTTCCTTTCTTAGTAAGTGTCTCTGTCTTTATCGTATTTGCTTGTATTTGACTGTTTCCACCTGTGCTTTGTTCTGCTACTAGCCAGTTATGTATGCATTGCTCCCTTTGCCTGTACTCGATTGTCTGTTGCTGTTCCTCATCTTTGTCCTGTTTTTTCTAGATGCAGGAACTTTTAATGGGAATTGTTACCATTCCAAGGTTGCTTATGTTGACCATATCTTTGCAAATAAAGTAAAAACTGGAGATGTCTTCTTGTTTTCTCCCATGGAGTTTTCAGTCTTGCCAGATGCACTGCTCATATTATGTGTGGATTTTAAAACACATATTTGAATTTTTCTGAAGCTGTAGTCTCATTTGTTGAAAGTTGTTTTATAAAGTCCAGAGGCAGAAAAGGTTAAAATTCATTTTTCAAGGTGCTCAAGGTAAAATTAGTTTCTTCAAAGTAAAACTGGTCAGCAGATGATCATTTTGTTCCTGATGAATTGCAACAGTTGAACATCTCACCTTTTGACTCCAGAAAATATTACGGGACTACATTTTCGTGCAGCAAAATACAGTTCCAACCCCCACACATCCACTCACCCAAGTTGGAAAAAATGTTTTTTCAAAGTTGCAAACTAAGTTAACAGCAAAAATTAGAGCAAGCAGCTAAAACACTGGGAATGAGAAGTGCTAGATTCTACAATAGAATACACATTTGTCCCACAACCTAAGTGATTATTTAGGTAAGTAAAACTATGTATACTGGTTTGAGAAAGGGTAGCGTACTGTCATCTGAGGCCTGTACTATGAAGTGAGTGACAAATGTATCTTTGTGTTATCAGGATTCATCTACTTAACACTGCCAGTCAGGGTTACTGGTCACTTGAAGCTAGATATCATCTCACTAAGTTAACCCTGGATTTCCCCTGTGTGTTCTTGTGAAAGGGGTGACACTGGCAGCATCTGATCAATCACAATTCTGAATAAGTGTCCTGGTGGCAAATAAGCTCATGTTATAAAGAGAGATAAATTATATTATGAGAAAAATATAAATAGGCTGAAAGCAACACATCTGCTGCAGACAAAGCAATAGTATGAGTGAGTGGTAGGGAGGAAAAGCACTGTTGAGTAATTTAGTATTAAAAGCGGTGTATGAATGCATAAGCACTTTATGCGCTTCAGTGAGATTGAAAAAGGTCTTTTGATATTTGAAGCCAGGAAGGAAAGCCAGCAAAAATCTGTAACTGTGTAAGCTAACTAACTTATCAATATCACAGCTCTGACATTAATCCACAGGAGAATGAGATGAATTGAGGATTGGATTTATTTTATTAAAACACTCTTTAACAGACAGTTTTAGTTTTCTTTCCTTCTGTTGAAAACTCGGTGGTGTTTGACAGTCAGAACAAAAATAAAAGTAAAAGCAGAATCTAAATGCAGGATAACCTGCATGTAAATTTGGTTTAAGATCCAGAAGTACAAATAGGAACTCTGTTTTAGGATCATAATGTGTACAGAATAATCAAACTTTTGTGGAATTATTAGCTGCCAGTTAAAAAAAAAACAATGAAAGGAATATAATTGTGTCTAAGAATTTATATTTAGTACTGGTGCTCCTCAGCAAAAGACAAAGACATGCTACTGAAAATGTTTAGATCCACGTGCTGACAGAGTATAATGGATCATCTGGGAATAGTGATGCTATTTTCTTGAGAACTGATTGATCAGTGATTGGTGGTGATTTTATACTTGTTGACAGCGTACTCTGGAGCAGGACTACTCAAGAACAGAAAATAAATGCAATCATCAACAAAAAAAGAAGATCAAAATGCAAGTGACCAACAATAAATCTGTATTGCTACATGAGAGGAAACACTTGTGTCATTTTAGGAATCCTTTACAACAATCTGAAAGGAAAGTAAAATGTTGATTGCAAAGCATCTACTGTTAATGTTATTTGTAATGGCTTTTGGCATGAAAATAACACCTCAGTCCAAGGATAAGCACTTTAATATTTTCTGTAATATACTCACATATCTATATTATTGCTAATATATATTGTAATATATCTATATCACTAAAGCACTTCTGGATGGATGCAAACTGCATTTCGTTGCCCTGTACCTGTGCATGTGCAATGACAATAAAGTTGAATTCTATTCTATTCTATTCTATTCAACCACCGACCATGTGTAAAGACCAAAAGTTTAGAATTCCTGGTAGACATTAAACAGATAAGTCCAGTCAAGGCAGTTTTATTTATACAGAACATTTAAAACAACAGTAGGTGACCCACTGTGCTTTCCAGGCAAATGTTTCTGGTCTCCAAAAACCCAAATTAAAAAAAACACGCAAAAGTCACATAAGCAAACATCACGAAAAAACTTTCCTGGAACGGCCTGTCTAAAAAAAACTCAGTTTTCAACAGTAGAAACAATAACAGGAGTTCCTGCAATAACTCTCATCTAATCCCAAACCAGCATTACAGTCCACGGAGGCTGGAATTCCATTAATGCATTTGACAGGTCTGAATCATTCCAGGGCCCCTGTCTCATGTAAATGTCAACGAATAAGCTCGGAGGCATCAATCTCAGTCAAGAAAGCCGTTGACTTTCAAACACTCAAAACACTTTAGAGTATAATGACAGGAAAATAAATATGAAATACAGACGGATTGCTTGTTTTCAACAGGCAAGCAAATCCTCAAAAGGGCTCTTGTCATTTAGAAACTCCTACTCACAGTAAAACAAACCACAATCCATTTTTTTCCTTCATATTTTATATGCAGCACGTGTAGCAAATCACTGGTTATAAAAAAAACATTTTAAAGCAGAGGTAATTGGAAAAATAGGGCTAGTGTCCTCCTGAGTTGAGGACAATTCCTTGAGAAATTGCTTCGAGGATAACGGCAACATGTAATCTCAGATGTGATTAAAGTGTCTCAACTATTCAATGACTTGCCACTTTTAGGCAGAGGACAAGAATTAAGGAAGTACCCACTGCTGACACTGTTTCAAAACTGACAAAAAGTCATTTATAGCTCCCAAAGTAAATATAACAGGGTGAAGAAAATATTAATGTTTCACATTGCAGTACTTTCACCAAACACTGATGTCCTTGTCGATCACAACTGATCAATTGAGGAGCGAGATTTATTTTAAAGGTTAAATGAATGCACGTCAGGGCTGCAACCAATGATTATTTTCAGTGTCACTTCATTTAACCTTTCTCAAATTAGCCAACTAATCATAGGATCTATAACTTTACATAAACTGCATTTTTGTTGTTGTCAAAAAATCAAAGATATTTACAAGCAGCAAATCCTCGTGCTTGAGAAGCATGAAACCAGAAAATGGGACTTCAGAGATTAATTAAAATAGTTGCCAATTAAACAAATAATCAATTTCTCAAATGCTTCTTTCTGCTTCATTGCTCTTCGGTTAAACTGGAGGCACAGAGTTTGAGAGATGTCAGTATTTGCCACACAGGGACTAGTGCATCTAATGACACAAGATTCTGGGATTTCAGAGCTTTGCTCATACTCCAAATAAAAGTCTGAACTTTTTTTGGCATTTCTTTTAAAATGTGTCAACATCTGGGAAGAACTCAGTTTGTGCTCTGTCACTGTTATTTATTAGACTGAGATGTTGTCAGTTGTTTGCAAGTAATAGCAAGGTAGGGGACGTGTGCTTAAAGTGCCAATTTTGAAGATTTCTTGTTTAAATAATGTCACTATCTGTCAGCAAATGAGATAACACAATGGTGAACCTATCATACACTGACACAGCACAGTACAGTATTTATCTATTTCCAGTATTGTGATCTGGATGTTAGTGGCTGTTAGTCCTTATAATCCTCTCTCATTATTGTTGTAAAGTTTTCTCTTCCCATGGTTTCCTGTTTTATGAGCCATTTGTGTTTCCCCAGTCTGCATTTTATTGTGTGTGGCTTGATTCTTGGTCCCTTGCTTCTTGATTCATTTTACTTCTTGCTTAATTTTCAAAGATTAGTCCCTGTTTGGTCTTTCTGTTTTCTTTTACCTCCTTCCATATTTCACCCTTTATTGTTGTTTAGATTTCACCTTTTTTCAGGATTGTTGCTGTGTGTATTTAGTCTCAAGATATTTGGTTTTTGTACCATCTTTTGAATTTATTTTATACTTTTGGACCGTGGACTCCATCTGATTTGTTTCTTGTTCATTATGAGGTTGAAAACAAAAGTTTTTTAATTTTAGTAACTGTCGCTCCA